CACACACACACACACACACACACACACACACACACACACACACACACACGGATCCATGCCTGCTCTCTCGTGACTCTGAAGTTCTCACCTAAACACAAGGTCCTGAATCATGGGATCCCTTGTCCTGCCTTTCTCCTCTTCTAACCTTTCAACTCAGACCAGACATCACGCCACAGAGGTAGCTGTGAATTGACTTAAAAGGGTTTCAAAAAATGACTTCGAATTCCTTTCTGCTTGAACCATGAGTCAGGCATCCTTTTTTTTTCTTCTTTTTTTGGGTCTGGTCATGGGGCCTGAACTCTGGGCCTGGGCGCTATCCCTCAGCTCTTCAGCTCAAGGCTAGTGCTCTACCACTTGAGCCACAGCGCCACTTCCGGCTTTTTTTCTCTTTGTTTATGAAGAAATTGAACCCAGGGCCTCATGCATGCAAGGCAAGCACTCTACCACTGAGCCACCTTCCCAACCCCAATGAGTCAGCCCCAATGAGTAATGCCTGAGCACCCAGCGCAGTGTCTGGAAATCCTGGGCTGCCATCCCCTGCAGCCTGGCTAGTGCCCCTCGGACTCTGGGCTCCGTCTGCAGCCCAGGACCAGCACAGCAGCCTCAACATGACAGCTCCAGTGATGCCGCCTCCTCTGGTCGCTGGAGGTGGTGATTAATTCTGACTTTATACCGCTTGGTGCCACATCAACTTTCTGCCTGTCTGTAAACAATGGGTGTCTGTACTAGAAACGACTCTGCTCACACTTTATTTGCCATCAGCAACTGTTTTGCAATGTGATTTTGTTAGAGATTTTTGTCTACCTGATTGAGTAATAATACAACAAAACATACTACTTAGAGGAATTTCAAAAAATACAAAGTAAAAAGAAAAAACATCACACTGACTTTTACTCCTGTCAGTAATAACAAGGACTGTCAGACCTATTGTAAGTTCTATTTCTTTCTCTCTATGAATATAAATGGTATGGATTAGATGAATATAAATGCATGTAAAGGGAAGCATAATAAATGAATACATAATAGATATAGTGCTGCCATGTAATTATACCATAAATTTAATCTTGACTTTCCTGCTGACTTTGAAGGAAAACATTATTTTAAATAATGGTACAATACCCCATTTTTTCTATACCTCTGACTGATTTTTACATGACAAATTCCTAGACACAGAACTGTTCTTAATTGCATGGTACAAATACATAGCAGTTGTGGCTTAACATCACCCAGTAGTTTTAGGGAAGTCACACAACTTACATCCATAGCAGCTCTACACAAGGGTGCCAGCTCCTCTCAACCTCAACAGCAGAGAATGGACAAGAAAATCTGTGAAAGGGCACAGGTTAGGTCAAGACAACAAACAGACAAGGTTGTGTCTAATTGGCTGGATGACTAGCTGGGCTGTAGCTGATTGGCCAGATGACTGGCTAAGCCATAACTGATGGGCTGATTACTAGCTAGGCTGTAGTTGATTGGCTAGACAGTTGGCTAGGTGTACCTAACTGGCTAGGCTGTAACTGATTGGGCTGGATGACTGGCTAGGCTGTCATCAATGAGATTGTTTTCTAGGTCACATTTTCATTTCCTATAAATGTTAAGTCACATGATAGGTCAGAGTTATCATATCCTGCTTTGGTTCCGGAAGCTTCCAGATTCATGAATCAAGTTGCTCTTTTGATTTCTTCACTCAAACTATTAAAATTGGTCAGAGGAATTTGCTTTTTGTAGCATAGTGAGTTATTATTTTCTTATCTTATGAGTAAAATACTATCTAGTTATTTTTTTCATTTAGCATCTCTTAGATTTGTGCATCATGTAACTCTTTTGATTTGTGTATGGAAAGTATCCCTCTCAGAGTTCAAGTGTACCTTATCCCTCTTCTCTATTGTCATGCTCAGATTGTTCCCAACTTCAGTGAGCCTCTCACTGTTCTCCGGGGGACTGAGGAGATCCTGTCCACTGGAATTTCTGAATCAGCAGATCTAGGGTAGGGCCTGGGAATCTGCATTTCTAACATTTCCCATGGGACCTCACTTTTAGAATCACTTTGAGAACTCAAGGCCTTGTATTTGCTAGGCAGGCTTTCCAATGTGAGCCAAAATCCCAGCTTTTCTTGCTTTTAGGATTTTTCCAAAAGCATGCCTCATTGATGCCCAGACAGCCTGACAACCAAAATTCTCTTATTTTATGCTTCCTGCATGGCTTGGATGGCAGGCACACACCTCAGTGTTGAGTTGCTGATTGAATGGGAGTCTTGTTCATGTTTTTGCCCAGGCTGGTCTCCAACTGCAATCCTCCCACGTAGCTAGGATCACAGGTGTGAACTTGGCATTTCACTCTTGGTCAGATCACTCTGGGAATCAGGATGAGCTCCCTGGCTGTCAGTGGTCTCTAAGCCCCATTAGATTAGAACAGCGAGCACCAGTTTGGATCCAGAACTCTGGCAGACTGGCATATTGACAAAATATTGCAAGAGAAGAAGTCTGCTGACACCAGATGTGATGTGTGGAGCATCTGCTCCTACAGAACAACTGACCCTTAAAATAAAAACTAGATGTAAAACATCAGCCAGGCGCCAGTGGCTCACACCAGTTATCCCAGTCTGCAGGAGCATCACAGCCCAAGGACATCACAGGCAAGGAAGCTTAAGAAATGCAAAAAAGAGCTGGGAGCGTGGCTCAAATGGTACAGCACTTCCTGAGTATGTGCAGGGCCCTGAATTCAAACCCCAGAACGACCAGGAAGTGTTGAGTGGTCCCCAGGAACAGCAGTATCGCCTGTGACCCTCATCATCATCCTTTCCATGGTCATCTGCAGGTGTCTGACCATCTCCTGTGTATTGGCCCATAGTGGAGGGGGAGTGGACAGCCCTCGGGGAGCAGAGCAGGTCTGTGGCTGGATGACCAGGGTAGAAGCAAGTCAATCTGGCAAAGAGATCTGGATCTGAACACAGCTGTGGACAAGTGAATGAGGGACTGCACCCTACCCCTTTTAGAGTAGAGTTCAGCAGATGTGCCCACTGCCTCTAATATCCCCGGGTGAGGCTGACCTCCCAGGATCCTCTCAATGTACAGCCACTGTCTGCAGTCTGCAGACTTGTTGCAGGATGTGAGGACAAGGAGGAGGCCGTGTGAACGGCGGCCTGGCGGGTTTGAACAGCACTTTCCTCTGCCACTGTGGCCTCCGTGGGGCTGTGAGGCTCGTGGCGAGGTTCTGGGGTATGTGGCTCATGGTGTGGGGTACAGGGCAGGGATGTCTGAGGAGCATGCATCTCAGCAGGTCTGCCACTCAGGGACAACGCTGTGTCCGCAGGACATGGGGAAGTGACTTCTGCAGCCAGGTGGACGAGGTGACTACGGCCCCTGCTGGCCTCTCGTGGGTCATTCGCCAAGAGGGAGGCAAGCCATCATCTTAGGAGGACACAGAATCAGCAATGTGGAGACGTCCCAGAGCTGGGACCCGAGGACCCCTGTCCTGCCAGGGGAGCAGGGCCACCCGTAGCCCACCCTCCAGGCCTGCCCTCAGACAACCACGAGCCTGCAGCCGCCCTCACAGAGAAAGCGCCTCCCTGCCAAAGCTGTTTAGAATTCCTGCCCTGGGCCCCGTGGGGACTATGGGCTCTGCAGCCCTGGTTTTCCATGATGTGAAGCTCGGGTGCACATCACAATCACACCGTCCAGGTGCATGGGCCTGCCCGTCTCCATGGCAACCTGGCCTCGTCCCTGGAGAGAGATCCCGCAGGTGTCTCTCGCCAGAAAGCAGAACCTGCTGATGACCGTCAGACCCAAGCCAGGCATCCCAAGGCAGGGCCGGGCATCCCAAGGCAGGGCAGCTTCCTCCCCTGACTCCCTCAGCTCCAGTGGGAAACCGACACGTGTGTGTGCACGTGTGGGCCTGTCTGTCCCCCCATTCTTCCTTGTTCATCCAGCCTCCTCTGTGACTTCCTCCCACCTTTGACTCCAACCTCCAGCCCCGGCCTCCAGCCAGGGTCCCCACCCCACCCGACTGGCCATCCAGCTCTGGCAGGCAGCCTTCACCAGGCCCAGTTTAGAATTCAGGTCTGCAAAGTCCTGTCTGCCTCCTTGTGATCTCATGTCTGACCACAACCACAAGTTAGGAAGGCAGGAGCTGGTGTCGTCCTCTGCACTTTCCTTGGTGCATGGAGCTGTGGGTCCCCCTCCCCAGACACCCCAGGTCTTTGCACCCTGGTTTGGGTCTGTGGTTATTGTTGTATTGTAAGTTCTTACTCAATATTTACCGATGACCTACACGCACAAGATAAGAGATTCAAGTCCATCGCAGCCCTTAGCTAGGGCAGAGAAGCACCTTTGTGGAAGACCAGAAACACACCAAGCAGTTAAGGAGACCATGCCAAGTCCAGGGTCCCAGATGCCCAGGCGGTAATGCATCTAACTCCACATCAGCAATGGGCTTCATAAACCACCCGCTCTGTTCCACAGCTGGGAAACACGAGTCACGTCTTAGCATGAGGGAGTGGTCCTCATTCTAATCTTTACAATGCAGTTGTCAGGAATCTCCAGAGAGGCTACAGGACAGAAAGGGAGTGCTGCTGATAAAACCTAATGCCACCCAAGGACAGAGTCCCAGGAGAGCCAAGTGCTTGGCCGCCATGCACCTCCACCATGGCCTCTGGGCCCCAGGCGGAGCTAGGTCCACCTTCATGGCATGCTGGGCCCCAGGCATAGGGATTCAGATGTGGGAATCACGTGGCCCAGATGCAAGCCAGAAGGGGAGAACGTGGGGAGACAAGCCACTCTCCGGACCTTACACAGGCCTGCAGCTGTCTTTAGCTCAAAAGAGGCAGCCCGGGCCTGGGCTTGGACATGCAACTCAATGGATGAGGTTAAGTCTGGCTCAAGAGCACCCAGCATGAACCTTGTACAGGGAAACCAATGTCCCCAGCTTGCTCAGCCATCCCCAGCTGTCCAGACACACGTGACCATGAAGTAGCCTCACGGAGGAAGCGTGCGCTCGCTCACCTGCCAGAAGATGCTGTCTATTGTGTTGCCCAGGAAACCATCGCGACCTTCCGAGGACACCAGCTTGGGCCCGAGGATCGTCATGAACTCATCGAAGTCCACCTGGCCGTCGCCTGCAGGGAGAGGAAGGGAGCATGAGGGGCGGCGCAGGCGCTGAGCCCCGACCCGCTGCACCGCCTGCAGCGCAGCCCTGCGCTCTCCTCCTGGGCCCGGGAGGAAAGAAAGCCTAGCATCATTGAAAATTGCCAGCATGAATGTCCTTCGGCTAGACTGGAGTCTGTGCTCCGGGCTTCTTGCTTGCTAGGCTGGCGCCACCCCAGCTGAGCCAGGCCTCCAGGCCACCTCGGTTTATGTAGCTTCTCAGACAGGGCCGACTAGCCATGTGGTGGTGGGTGGAGTGGGGGGGTGGGTGGAGTGGGGGTGGTGGGGGTGGGTGGAGTGGAGGGTGGGTGGGGTGAGGGGTGGCAGGGGGTGGGTGGAGTGGGGGTGGTGGGGGTGGGTGGAGTGGGGGGTGGGTGGAGTGGGGGTGGTGGGGGTGGGTGGAGTGGGGGGTGGGGGGTGAGGGGTGGCAGGGGGTGGGTGGAGTGGGGGTGGTGGGGGTGGGTGGAGTGGGGGGTGGGTGGAGTGGGGGTGGTGGGGGTGGGTGGAGTGGGGGGTGGGTGGAGTGGGGGTGGTGGGGGTGGGTGGAGTGGGGGGGGTGGAGTGGGGGGGTGGAGTGAGGGGTGGCAGGGGGTGGGTGGGGTGAGGGGTGGCATTCACATCTGATTTAGAGTACCACAAAAAAATATTTTTAATGAACTGACATATAGCATCTGCCATACATTTTCAGTATTTTTCGGCTGGCATGCCATTCCTAACGCAACGTGAATACTATCTAGATCACGTGTTTGGTTGCTCAGTGGAACAGCAACCTTGTCTTGGTGTTGTGGAGCTGGGAGCAAGTGCAGGCGCTCTACCACCCAAGCCACACCTCCAGCCCTCGTGTCTTCATCTGAACTTGCTTGAGCCTCAGGATGCAGAGCCCTGAGGGCTGAGGGCTGATGTATCCACAGCTTCAGTTGCTGTTCCACAGGTAAGGAAACGGAAGCACAGAGCGGGTGCGTGGGAAGCAGACACTCACGGAGACGCTGGTCACTGAATTTCTGTCTGGAATGATCTCCCCTGGCCCTGGTATTCCTGCACAGAGAGCGCTCTAGCTGCCTGCCAGCTGCCGGGTATTGACACCAATTAAATCTAAATTGCTCTTGCTGGTGTAGCTGTTGGGTCTCAGGTCAGCCACTAGAGATCTTACGTAACCATTTAAAAAGTAATAATAGAAACCAGGTTTGGTGGTGCCAGCCACACAAGAGGCAGAGAGAAGAAGATCACGGCCTGAGGCCAGCCTGGGGAAAGTTAGGGCAACCTGCCTGAAGCAAAAACAAAGCAGAAGGCAGAGGGCTGGAGGTGTGGCTCAGGTGCTAGAGTGCTGCCCGGGGCTGCCTCCTCCTCCTCCGCCAAAAAATATAACAAGTAATAAGAAGCAATAAGAAGCGCTTATGTAAGGCTGGCGAGGCGCCAGGCACCAAGCTCGGGGCCTCCAGGGCAGCATACTGCTATCCCACCCCAACCCCACCATTTCCTCCTCCCATGCCACCTTCGCCAAAAACAAGAATTTAAGGTCCCACAGAGAGCGCCCGGCAGAGCTGGTGCTCAGCTCAGAGCCCCAAGGGAACCCCCATAGTGTGAGACCCCAGACCCCACCATGTACTCCAGGCCCCCAGCACACACCCCAGGCCTCTGCCACACACCCCAGGTCCCCCAGCACACACTCCAGGTCCCTAACACATAGCCCTGGTGCAGGTTCCTCTTCCTTCCCAAACTCTGTCAGCTGTCCTGCGTTTTCCTATCTGAGCTAGAAGGGGGCATCTAGTGGGAGGTCAGCTGGGGGAGAGGGACACTGCAGAGCGTGGGAGCTTTGGGGAGCTGGCCACAAGCTCCCCACAACACCAGCTAACCCCCTCAGCATCGTCTCTCATTCTCACAGATGGTTTTTTCTTCCCCAGAGACCTCGCACATAGCTCCTGCCACCAGAGAAGGAATGGGTCTGGGTATAATGAATTTCCGAGTCCCCTAAGGACAAAGGCAGAAGCTTCCAGACCGCTGCCCAGCCTGGAGTACAGAATAACTTTTAATTGCACAAATTTCATTTCGTGAAATTGTTTTCTGAATCCTGAGCAGGAAAATCACTGCAGAAAGAGTGGGATCCACTCCAAGCAGCTCAGGCCCCTGGCCCACCCCAGGCAGCCAAACACTGCCATCCACTTAGCAAGCAGCATGAGGCCTGAGGCCTGCTTGCCCAGGATCGCATCTCCCCCCTATACCTCCCTCCTCCCTACCATGGGAGTGGAGAGAGTGAACTTGAACCAGGGCAGGAAGCTGCAGGAGGGCCTAGATCAGATCGTACAACACTCATCAAGACCAACCTGATGAAACTGTCCCAAAGAGGTGACATAATCATTAAGAAATCACTGCAGAATGAAAGGAATGAACCAAAAATGAGCACTTAGGGGAACAGGGGCACGGTTTAAGGGAAAGAAAAGAGTCTGTATGACTCTCTCTCTCTCTCTCTCTCTCATGATCAGCTGACTAAATCCTAGGTGCACAGTGACCCAGGGGAGGGGCGTGCACAGAGAGGCAGCCGGGAGGCCCAGGTGACAGGTGAGCCAGGCCTCCGGAAGCTGCTCCCCAGCATCAGGGGAGGCCTGGGCCTGGCTGGGGCTGAGCCCTGCAGAGGCTGAGCTGCAGAGAGGTTGCCCTGCAGCCATCTGCAAAGAGCCTTTAAAGGAGGGCAGGGGTCTAACACCTGGAAAGGGAGACAGGTAAGCGACACTCCCTTCGACCAGATGTGTAAGTACGTGGTTACACCCCAGCTCCAGGGAAGCCCATGAAGACAAAAGGCCTGTGACAGCTGGACGCCGGGACACCAGGACATCAGGCCCAGCTGTGTGAGCTCTGGGCAAGGAAGTCAGGCACCTGCCCCCTCCCCAGGTCCCTCTCCCATGTCGTGGTCTCTGCACCTCGCCCTGTGGGCACAGCCCAGCTGACATACAACAGACATCCTAGCAGCTGCCAGTCTGTGCCAGCCAGGGTAGGGCGTCCAGACCCTTCTGCAAGTCCTCTAAACAGGGGAGACTGAGGCACCCAGGTTACATATGCTGAGTGGTGCCTCATTTCACACAGTGCCCCCTGACCAGGGCTCCAAGCTCCCTCTCCACACAAGGAGTACAGGGAAGCGGCGAGGGGGCCTGTCCTTCCTTGGTCCTCCATCCTTGGTCCTCCCATCCAGCATCCTCTGAGCACTCATTACATAGCAGAAACTGCTACCAGGTGCTCGCTCAGCAACTGGAACCGTCTAAGAACTCCCATGGGAAGAGAAGACAGCCCACAATCTCCATGCTTGCTGGCACTGGGGATCACAGTTCAAAGCCAGCCTGGGCAGGAAAAGTCTGTGTGACTCTTTATCTCCAATAAACCACTCAGAAAACCGGAAGTGGCTCTGTGGCTCAAGTGGTAGAGCACTAGCCTTGAGCTAAAGAGCTGAAGGACAGCTCTCAGGCCCAGAGTTCAAGCCCCAGGACCAACAAAAAAAAAAGAAAAAAGAAAAGAAACCTTGCCTGGTTGTGGAGGAAATGTTGCAACCCCAAAAGCTCCCCCTAGAGCCAGAAGGGGCTTAAGAGCCCCCGGTTTGGTGCTGGTGAGCTCTGAAGCCCACTGAGGCTCTGATGAACTCGGGGATGCGGGTGGCTCCAGGGACTCCCAGGGGGCAGGGCCGGGGCACCTGCAGGAGCTGACAAAGGCAGCGTCTGCTTGAGTTCACGGCAGTAAACTGCATTTCGCATGGCTGTCCACGAATGTTTATCCAAAGCCACTGTGTGACCAGCCATTGTGCTGGGCTCGGGTGCCTGGAGGGAAACTGAGCCAGGAGGACAGACATGCAAGGCCTTGAGCCTGTGTCTGTTACCGAGGGGCCACTGCAGCAGGGTGCAGTGGGGGTGGATCAGGGTGGACTCCATCTCCAAGGGGAGCCCGGCACCAAGGTGTTTGCAGCACCCACAAAAGCAGGAGCTCCGCCCGTCTCTTCACACATCTTTCCAGTGCACACACTTAAGTGTGTTGTGAGGAGCATGTGAGGCCATGATGCAGTCTCCATATAATATAGTGAGCAAACTACACAGAGGGCAGGGAGAAAGGGCCCGAAGGAAAGGTGGAGGGCAGGAAGGAAGGGCAGGAGGGCAGGAAGGAAGAACAGGGGGGCAGGAAGGAAGGGCAGGAGGGCAGGAAGAACAGGGTGGCAGGAAGGAAGGGCAGGAGGGCAGGAAGGAAGGACCAAGAAGGAAGGGCAGGAAGGAAGGGGAGGGGCAGGAAGGAAGGGGAGGGGCAGGAAGGAAGGGCAGGAGGGCAGGAAGGAAGGACAAGAAGGAAGGGCAGGAAGGAAGGCGAGGGGAGGAGCAGGAAGGAAGGGGAGGGGCAGGAAGGAAGGGGAGGGGCAGGAAGGAAGGGGAGGGGCAGGAAGGAAGGGCAGGAGGGCAGGAAGAGACTGCTGAGGCCTGGGCTTGCTTCCATCTGAACACTGGGAACATTTCTCATATACATCTCCTTATTTACCTCCTCTGATGTCACTTCACGATCACAGCCAGGCTCCAGTGGCTCAGGTCTGTAATCCCAGTGACTCACGAGGCTGAGATCTGAGGCAGCCCTGGCAGACAAATCTGAGAGACTCATCTCTAATTAACTAGCAAAAAGCTAGAAGTGGAGCTGTGGCTCAAGAGGTAGAGCACCAGCCTTGAGTAAAAAAGCTTAAGTTCAAGTCCTAGCACCAGCCTCAAAAAAGGTGGGGGGGAGAGGATTTCTCTGGAAAAAAAAAAAGAAAAAAACAACCAACTATATAATCTATAAATGAATGACAAATCTAATCCCGAAAGATCCAATTAAAATGCAATCAGGAAAAGCTATACATCACCAAATGTAAAAATTAAGATTAATTATGATTCTATATAACTGAAAGCTAAACATTTTTAATTTTTTTTGTGAAAGTAGTGGTCTTTAAAAAAAAAAAAAGGTAGGGCTGGGAAGG